GTGGATCCCGGTGAGCTGCCCTCTGAGCGGTTTGGGCTTGATCCAGGAAGTGGTACAGGTCACTCATGGTAGAGCCTCAGTGATGCCTCCCGCCAGCCCCCAGCCCCCCAGCACTTGGCTCCAGGGCTGGAGTTGTGTCTCATCTGATACACTGTAGCCCGAAAGGCCTCCAGGGGCTGCCTGGGGCACAGGTTGACAGCCCAGCTATTGTTCCTTCTCTTAAGATGTCTTTTGGGATTTTCTGTACCACTCTGTGGGTACTTTGCACTAGTGTTCATTAGTGTGGTGGCTAGTGTGTCTGTCATATTAAAGTGGAGCCTATCACAGGCTGGAACATGTCCTGTCTTCACATCTCTACCTGAAGATTGTACATTTTTGATGGTTTCTACCTTGGGCTTTGCTTCTTGGCATTGGTTTAATAGGCCAGGCTTGACTGTATGCAGATGATTTGACAACACTGTACAGTGTGAACTCCTCAGCTGCTAATTTAGGCTTACTGTCTTATTTGACTTCTTTTTCAGGAAAATTGTTCCAGTCCGTTTTAATGTTATTTTACTTGTTGCAGGGTGAGTTGAGCAATATGAAGACCAGCAAAAGCAAAAAAATTCCTACTTCAGTTTATGTACTTAGAAAGGCCACCCTTGTAGCTGAAGTGGGGAAAGGGACCCCTCTTGTCCTTTCACACCCCCCGGGACTCAACCTCTGATTCTTTTCCATTTTGATTTTGACTGAACCACAGCTCTGTGAAACCTGGGACTTTATGTTCACCTCTCAGCATTAAGAACAGCACTTGTTACCTAGGAAGCACTCAATAATTATTGGATGACTAATTGAATGGGCAGAGAACTCTGGAACCTGAAGTGAAATGGTCATTCATTTGCTATTTTTCAACCAAGAACAGCACCAGTGGGAGGTAGAACTGGTAAAGCTCATGTTATGAAGGAGCTGTCTGGGATCAGTTAACACGTTGAAGAAGCTGGCTTAGTCAAGGACTGACAGTTTACAAAATAAACAGAAAGCTGGTTAGGGGCTTAACCACAAAAAGGGGGACAGTCCTGAGAAAATAATTAACAGCAAGAAGTGCAAATCAATGTATTGTGAACTATGCCTGTCTCTTTGTGTCTTCTGTTTTTTACTGTATACATCCCACAGCTGTGTGGGTATTTGCTGTTTTAGAGACAGTTCGTTCCTTGAGGGCCAGGACTAGGTTTCATGCACTGGGCCAAGTTCAGGATCTGGCCTGAGATTGGCACGCACACACTGTTGTTGGATTGTAAGCTGTCAACCTGATGGCTGAACCCAGGAATGATAGTTTTGTTGACAGGCATGACTGGTGGAACCCAGTGTTGCATCTGCACTTGGGGTCTGTCCAGGAGGAATTTCAGGCCACAAGGTTAAGGGGACAGCCCAGATCTTGGGGACAACCCAGATCATACTTTCCTCTAGTGAGAGGAAAGACACTCAGCCTGAACTCCTGAATCCTGTCCTCATTTGCTCTCGTTTGTGTGTTGTTCTTGATTAGACACCTGATAACTGTGTGGTCACATGTTAACCAAAGTTTTAAGCATCATGATATTAGGAATACGCCTGATCTTACTGTTCCATCTGAGACCTGGACAATCTCAATTTATCTTCCCCTGTGATTTCCCTTATAACTTCTCTTCTCATTTATTTATCACTCCCTTGAGTTGGCTTAAAGAATAAGAAGGAAAGGAAAAAACCAGCACCACCAAATACACACACAAAGCGGGGGGTATGGCTCAGTGGTAGAGTACTTGCCTAGCATTTGAGAGGTCCTGGGTTCGATCCCAAGCATTGCAAAAAACTAAATGGCATAAAATGCTTGTGCAGATGTATGTTTATGTCTGAATCACAAAAAATTCACTTTGCTTGTTTCTGAGCCTTTGCAAAGTGGCAATAGCCGAGATAGTCCCCTGGGACAACCCCCCTCAATCGCCCTGCTTTCTAGGGTCACTTGTGTTGTTGCTTATAGCTGTGGGTCATCCTTGTTTTCTTCATTCTGCTCATGCTGTTTCCTGCTTGGACCCCTTAGGGTCTGGGATGGCTCCCAAGCAAATGGCTCCAGTTAACTCTAATTTTAACTTTTTACAAGCTGTCAGTAAACTTTCCCATGCTGCTTCACTTATGGGAAGCATTTAGTCATTTCCTAATTTAATGATAGTTAAACATCCTTAGCCCTAGAAATTTGTTGTGAAACACTTCCAATTAAGGTTAATTGGGATGGATGTGGAATATGAGTTAGATGGTTTTGCGAAAGTGTTTTGGTGCTGCTGGCGAGGTACAGTCCCGCTGACGGGAAGGAAGCCCTACTGTACTGGTCACCCACCCCAGGGAGAGGGTGTGAGGACAGGAGCAGCTCACTGGGGCCAGGGTGGAGGTGCAAAGAGGCTCCAGAGAGGGTTGAAACCGTGTTTCTTCACATTGGCCTTCCCTGGTCAAGTTATATCTTTTCTTTCCTGGATCACACTGCTCAATTTCTAGTTAATCCCTTCTGAATCCCAGAATGTTCCGGATTACAGTTTCAAATTAGCTCAGCTCACTTATATCATAAGTTTGCTTTTCAATTCAGAAGAAGATTGTTGATGTCTAGTTATTCTGCAGAAATCAGGTTTTAGGGTTTATGTGTGGTATTTGAATTAGAATTATATGCACAGCATTTCTCCTCCTGTGTAGTTTTCTGGAGAGGGGCCTGGGTTTGGACCAGATTCTAGGAGCCAGCAATCCCTTCCTCCAATGGTTATTTTTAGCCCAGGGATTTTCAGCCTTGACTCGGTTAAGCCAGGTGATTCTTTATTGTGAGGAGGCTGTACTTCGTATTACGGAGTCTCTAGAGGCGTCCCTGGCCTGTACTCACGAAACGCTGGCATCGTCCTCCACTCCAGTGTGACCACTAAAAATGTCTCTGTACATTGCCAGATGTCTCTGGGTGGGGCTGTGTGCTTATGAAAATGACCCCCACTTGAGAAACTGGTTTACAGCTTTTACCAGGTTTCTCTTGAATCATGAACGGTTTTCTTTTTTCTTTTTTTTTTTTTTTCTGGTACTGGGAATCGAACTTCACACCTTTCACTTGCCAGGCAGATGCTGTGCTCCTGAGCTGTATCCACGGCCCCGGGTTTTCATTCTTGCTCAGGCAAGAGAGCACAGAGCTATTTGTGGCGTTTTTGCACACCTAGCTCCAGTGTAAGACAGCGGGAGAGACCAGGGTTAGATTTAGTGTGCATGGGGGGAGGGTCATAAAGCATTTCCATTTAGCATTATTTTTAAATATTTAGGACCTAAATATTTATGCCTGATCCCCAATCATTAAACACATCCTACTGTGTATTACACATTCCAAGTGTATTATCTAAATCACCCTAACGCTCTGTGAGAGAGTTATCTGTGGAACCGTCCCATTGTGTAGATAGAGGCTGGAACAGGTTAAGAAAATTTGCCCAGGGTTGTAAGTTAATGAATGGCAAACCTGGGAATTGAATAGGTCTCTCTAGAGTCTAGTCAGCTTATCTGTGTTATACCCTAGACATGGTGTTGAAATCTCTTCCCAAGCCAACGGGCCAAACCCATGTCACCGGGGCACCGCTGACACATGGCAGAGCAGTATGTGGCACAAGTAAGGAGTTCATGGCTGCTGTAGTGTTTCATAGAGCAAAACACGTGATAGGGCTTTTCTTTCCTCTCCTTTTCTTTTTTCTTTTATTTGAAGAGTAAATAGTTCGTTTTGTGTCCTAGAATAAATATCACTGATAACTGTTTTGAGCAAGGGACAACCTTTTTTTTTTTAAACAGCTGGCTTGTATGTGCCATATCAATATCTGAAAATCAAGTTCGGTTCCAGTTAGCAACGTGTTATGTCTTTGGTGGCTATTAATGGCTTGCTCCTGGTTAATAAATCTGAGGTGTAAATGCTGATATTCAAAGGTTACATCTCATTACAACCAAATGTGGCATTTTGAAGATTATTTTGTATACTTTATGCTCTTCAGCTTGTTGATTGGCTTTCAAAAGTCCTACAAGCAGAGTAGGTTCCATGTACAAATCAGATAGTGCTTTTCTGACTGATAATGTTGGAAGTCCACCTGCCTTACTGCACACAGGGTTACTTTACCTGGCAGCTCAGCCTCTCTTACTTTATTTCTTGTGGCTCTTCCCGAAATCTAGCCTTCTGTGCTGTAGCCGGCCATGTACCAGACTTACTTTGCATTTTACTGTCTTTCCCAGACTCACTTCCTCCCTCCCTTCTTCCTTCTTTCCTTTTTTATTTTGTATGTGTTTATGAAGACTGGCACATAGTGGCTGTCTGTACGTGTTTTAGCATAAATACTAAATGAGGAGGCTGTTGTGAAGCACATCATGCATTGCTTTGACAAGGTGCTCCCCCTAGTCCCCTGAGTTTGTCATCCTTGTCCACTTTGTTGGGAAGAGCAAGCTCTTGACTATAGTATGTTTCCGTTTTCAGATGTTTGTACAAGATTTCGTTGAACAGACAAAGCACTTGTAACCTTGGTGTGCATATCACTGGTGTGCATATCACTGCTTCTTTGCCAGCTTTCTTTCTTTCCTAATTTGGAACTCATCAAGGACCCTGGCCTGGGGATGTTGCCTGACGTTTATGTCCAGGTGACAGCAAAGGCGGCCCTTACCTCCTACGTGAGCCTTCTTTGCATAGCTCCAGCTAGCACTTGCTACAGCCATGGCTACTGGATCTGTCTGCTGAGGAGGAAGAGTGCTTACTGAACTCCCCAGCCTGCTTCTGCTTCCCTCTGGAACTTGTGCAAAGAGGATGCCTTGGAGGGGGACAGACACCCTTTACAGAGTCACCCTAGGCTAAGGCGCTTGCAGAACTTATAGAAAGCCCATTACTGGGCTGTTTGGGTCTTAGAATCCTCCCAGGCAAGCAGCAACTGGAAGAATGCTTTTGAGAAGGAGTCTTGGTATTGGCCAAAAAGACTTAAGTGCCTTTCTTTTTCCCTTCACAGAGTGACCAGCAGCTGGACTGTGCCTTGGACCTAATGAGGCGCCTGCCTCCACAGCAAATCGAGAAGAACCTCAGTGACCTGATCGACCTGGTACGTGCCTCTTTCATATGGTTTCATTTGAGACCACGACACATAATTGCTTGGTTGTATATAGTGCTTTCCATGCAGAATTCAAAACACAGGAAACCTTTTCTCTTCCTAGCCAGACAGCACCACTGGGCTTGGAGATTGCTCTGCACAGAGAAGATGAGTTTCATATGGTGGTCTTTCTTTGAGACCGTCTGTGTTGATAAAGCCGAAGATAAGCATGCTAAAGTTGATTACAGTCTGCACCCCTTCCCCCAGCTTGTCTTGCAGCTTTAGTTTAGGCATGGTGAGGAAGCCACACATCCAGCAGTGCTCAGCAAGGCAGCCAAACCAGGCACTGCAGGTTGTGCTGCTGTGCGAGTTTCTCCAGCCAGTGTGACCATCTACCCGGGAAAGTACTTTAGCAGCCTCATTTCTAGTTTGAAATAGTTTTAACAAACAAGGAGCTCAGCACATCTATTTTTAAAATACTCACTTTACTTTTTTTTTTTTTTTTTTTTTTTTTTTTTTTTTTTTTTTTTGTTTTGTTTTTTGTTTTTTTTTTGGTTTTTCTCCGGTACCAGGAACCGAACTCACGACCTTGCGCTTGCCAGGCAGGCGCTTTGCCGCTGAGCTAAATCCCCAGCCCCTCACTTTACTTTTAACATTTTTTTTTTTTAAATACTCAAAATGATTCATCACAAAATGATGCCTTGGATTCACTGGAATTGTAATGTTACTTGAAAATGCTGAAATACTCAAAAACATCTGTAAAGCTACAGGAAAAATTGCAAAGAAAAAAAATGAAATCAGGTCTCAAGAGACCAGTCAGCTTACCTCGATCACTTAGCCAGCAGGTTCTGGCACTCACTGTGGAAGCTGCATCCTCTGTTTTTTCCATTGTGTCCCGTGTCATCTTTGGATACGATTATCAGTTGCCACACGTGGCTCATCAGTGATGTGTCTTTTAAAATGAGGGTTTGAAAACTTGTTCATCTGCTGTGGTGATTTATTTAATTCCATTGTACAGATTCAGAACAACTTTACTAGGAAAAAAATGTAATAGGAAGCTGGTGTCATTCAGATAAACTCTTCTTCGTAGAAGAAGGTCCACTGGGCAACTATTTCTGTATTCACAGAAACATGAACTTCCAGCTGATGGGCAGATGTGTGGGACCGAGTCGAACCTAAGGAAGGAGTTGTGAACTTGCTGTATTTTATGTGACGTAATTCAGGAAGTGAGGAGGAGAAGGTCTCTGGGGGTCCTTTGCCTGCTGAGAGCCAGCTGCAGGTGCTCTGTGCTAGAAGCAAAGAGGAGGGAGGTATAAAAAGTCATGGTTCCAGGCCAGACAAATACACATTTTAGAAGCATGCTGCAGGATAGGAGATTGAATTGTGATACAAATGAATCTGCTGTGTGCCCAAGAGTATGGCAAGGCTGGGTGAGGGAAATCCCTGAAGTGGACTGGTGTGAGAAAAAAGACGCAGTGTGTCCGGGGCACAGGCCATCTGGAAGGGCGGCTGCCCCTCTGCTCAGGCACTAGTTGGCCTGTTGTTTGTTTTCAGGTTTTTCTGAAGAAGCTATACATTCCTTTTTTTTTTTTTTTTGGTTTTTTTTTTGGGGGGTTTTTCTCCGGTACCGAGAACCGAACTCACGACCTTGCGCTTGCCAGGCAGGCGCTTTGCCGCTGAGCTAAATCCCCAGCCCCTATACATTCCATTTTTATGTGAATGATCGTAATTTTTAAACATTGGCCTAATCGTTGGATTGGTGGGGTCTGATTTTGTGTAGACTCTGGCTCTGAGTATGGGAAAGGGGGCTGTTAGAAGAGACAGTGAAACTGGATAGGTAGGACGTGTCCTTGGAAGTCAAGAGGAGATCTGATACAGTAGTAATTGTCTCATGAGCCCACTTACTGGCCTTTGCATGCAGGGCATTGTGCTGTGCACTTGCATGGCCTTATTTAACTCTCAGCACTCATACTAGGGACTGCTACAAAGTGGAGTTGATGAAGTATGCTGTGCCTTTGCCTTTTTTTGGTCAGAAATCTGACTGACCCCATATGGACGAGGTGAGCCAGAGTTGAAGATGTGATCAGTTCCCTGATCTGGCTCTCTGCAGGGGCCTCCTTCTCCTTTTAAACTCAGAGTGCAAATGTGTTTGGCTAAAATTTGATTTAGTTTGCCAGTTTACTTATTACTCCATTTTAGAAATAAACCAAACATAGACATAAGAAAGGATAGGCTCATTCTTCTGCAGCAACTCTTGTTGGTGTTTAACAGGCTATTTTGTTCTTATGACAACCAAAGGACTGTACGATTATTGTGTATTTTCTCCAGGACTTTCTTAGAGATGTGCATGTGGCTGCTTTTATGCAAACGTGGTTAGCTGGTGCCTTTGCTACAGATGCCAGTTTCCCTTGGGTCACCAGGGAATTTGCAGCACTGATGGGGGTTGAAAAGGAGAGGAGGAGCAGGAGCCAGCTTGCATCAAACATTCTAGAAGAGAGATCAGCTTGAGGTTCATTGTGCAGGCTGGTGCTTAGACACAGGCTGACGAACCAAACTGTATCTGTCACTGATACCTGATGCGGTATGTGTCATTCCAAGGTTATTGCCAGACTGTACTACTTTGCCCTTTTACCTTTGTCTTATGCAAAATGTGTACCAGAGAGGAAAAGGAAGCAATGGAGGCAAACCAGGGTTGGGGTTAGATACAGCTAACCTTTGTTGTTGCTGTTGTTGTTTTGTGGTGAGGTTATCTGACCTCAGACTTGGAATCCTTCTGCTTCAGCCTCCTGAATGGATGACGGATGTGTGTGCCTCCATGCCGTAACAGCTAACAGTTGTTCAGTGTCCACTGTTGTGCTTTGGATCTTGGAAGTTTTTTTTGTCTTTTGAGACAGGGTCTTGCTGTGTAGTTCAGGCCAGACTTGAACTCACTATATAGCCCAGGCTGGGCTCGAACTTGCAGCAATTATCCTGCATCAGCCTCCTAAGTACTGGAATTACAGGCCTGAGCCACCACAATGTATTTTGGATTTTACTTGTTCCCCAAAGGCTCACTGTTGAAAGCTCAGTTCCCAGCGGATGGCACTGTTGGGAGGTGGCGGAGCTGTCGGGAGGTGGCGGAGCTGTTGGGAGGCGGGCCCTAGTAGAAGGAAGTCAGGTCACTGGGAGCGCACACTGAGGGGCTATTAAGACCCTGGCCCTCCTCTGTCTCTCTTCTTCCTGGTGGCCATGAGACGAGCAGCTTTGCTCAGCCATGCACTCCCTGCCATGATACTCTGTCTCACCACAAGCCCAGAAGTGATGCAGCCAGCTGACTAGAACTAAAGCCTCTAAAAGCACGAGTCTGACGTTTCCTCCTGTTGATTGTCTCAGGTGTTGGTCCCAGCGGTGAAAGACTGTCGTATCCAGTGAGTGCCCAGCACCGAGCTGGACACTTCCACTTGTGTTTCTTGCTATTCCATCTGATTTCCGCAACACCCTTTAAAGGTGCATGTGGCCAATCTGCCTGTTTTTAGATGGCTGAGACTGTGAGGATGGAGCCAGGAGGTGGCGTGGCCAGGCTGCCTGGACAGCCCTGAAGGCTTGGCCTTCTGGTGCTAGCGGCACACTCACGCCAGAGGAAGGAATGTGCTGCGTCCTTATAGTTGTCGTAATTGAAGATGTTAGAACACAGGTATTTTCTGGAGGATAATTTTAATTTCACATAATTTAAAACCAAAACTGGAAATACAAAAGAAATTCCTTTCCTAGGGCCAGGCCGATTAGGATGAGCTCCACGGGGCGGCTTGCAAGGTGCCGATTTCCCCTCGCTCAGGTTGCGTGGAGGCAGCCTTGGGGTGAACAAGAGGCCATGGCAGATTCTCTTCATAGACTGGGTTGGGGAATTGGGACTCTCATTAATTTTTTAATTGAAATATGATGTCAGAATGGAAATGAAGCATGACTTCTCAGCAAATTAGGATCTGGTAAAGCATGCCTCATTAAAACGATATGGCCTGCTTCAGAGCCACTCTTTGCTTCATGGTTTGGCTTTGAGGTGCTCGCTGTGTGGTACATATGTAAGGGGCAGTCAGGCTGGTGTTTTGTTGTATTGTATGATCCCTCCTAAAAGTTACCTTGAATGTTTTCCTTTCCTCCTCAGTGCTTTTCTCCTGTTGTTTTGTTTTCTACTCCCGCCCCCCATGTGATGCTGGTATTCAAAGCCCAGGCCTTTTCACCAAGCTGCTTCCCCAGTCTTTTTATTTTTTGTTTCAAAACAAGGTCTGCTGACCTTAAGTCCTGAGTTGCCCAGGTTGGGCCCAAACTTTTAGTCCTCCTGCCTCAGCCACCCAGAGTGCTGAGATTACAGGTGTGTATCACCATGCCTGGCTTGTTTTGTTTTTTATTTTTTAACCAGATTTGAACACTTCTCTTATTCGGTGAAAGTTGGTCTGTGCTCAGGGTCCTGCTGTGGCCCTGAAGTTCACATGGAATTTTAGTTTCTTCCCAAAAAAGTGTCCAATTTAGGACAGACAAAAATGCTGGGATTCACCATTTTTCCCCAGGAACAGGCTGACCACACGTAGGTGTCAGACCCCGGGAACTATGGGGGAATTTTATCTGGTCTACCCATGGTCCCATTACCAAGTGGTATTAAAGAGAAATGTGGTGTATGCTCGGCCGCCAGGCCAAAGCTGTGTGATTTATCATGCCAGATGAGCTTTTTTTTTTTCTTTCCACCATCAGAGCTTTTACTGCTTAGGATTATGATGCATGCTCTGATTGGTGGGAAGTGACCATCCTTTGCAGATGGCCAAAACATCATTTCATTTCATATTAATCCTATTGTGCTAGAGTGAAGCTAGCCAAAATCTGTTAAGCCATTTCAAAAATACCCACACATCCATGTGGGCCAAGAATCATGTGCTGGGAAGACGGTCCCTGGGCTTCCTAGACTTTGACCTTCTATGGCCTTTCTGCACACTGGCAACTAGGGTCGATACTTCTCAGCCGGAGTGTATTTTGAGCTCCAA